CGCCTACCCCGACCTGGAGGGGAAGGGCTTGGACTCCCTGGCCCTCGACAGGTTGTTGGCTCTCGCGGCTGAGCTGGGCATCGTGTTGTCCATCCCAGAGGAGGCCCAGATAACTTCGCTGGCTGTGGCGCACAACATCAAGTTCAAGTTCATTTACATGCAGGCTCACCTCGCTCTGCAACGCCTGGCCGTGTTGGCGGCGTGCGCGAGCGTCCCGCTACTGGCGGCACCGGCGTCGGGGGTCGCGCCCCAGGGTGAGGGCACCCTCGCAGCTGTGGCCACCTTTGACGGCCGCGGGAGGGGCGCCGCTGCTCGCCGGACGGAGTGGCAGTGGCGAGCGGGACCTCCTCGTCCGCAAGGCACGGGGCAGGTCACCTCTTTCCAGTGTGGCCAGCAGGGCCACTTTGAACGGGGCTGTAATGACGCCCCCGGGGCCTTCGTGCGGGCCTCCCCTTCTGCCACTGGGTCTCCGACGGCGGGGCCTTCGCGCCCACAGGCGAGTCGCGACGCATCAATCGCGCGGCCGCTCCCTTCACCTCACGCACCTAGCAGGGTTAGGGTCCATCCTCAGGGGGTCATCTCGAGGGGGTCGGGCTCGTGGGCCGCGCAGTCGGGCACGTTGGTTGGGTGGCCCAGACGGACCCACCAGTGGAGGGCCCTCACGCATCGCATTGTGGCTGCCGCTGCGGGGTCCTCGGCCATGGCAGGATGCGTGCAGGGGGTAAGCCCTTAACAACCTGGTGTAAGCCCTTAACAACCTGGCGTAAGCCCTTAATAAACGTGGCGTGAGCCCCTAACAGCAACCTGCCGTTTATAAAGCTCGAAGAGTCCATGGACTCGATGACTTCGATGTGCACTGCTCGTGCACTCATACAGGTGAACAGCACTGCCCAACGTTTGCTGTTCGCGAGCCTCCTCTGGTGCAGCGGGAGATGACTGTCCACAGTCCAAACATGTCGATTCCTACAGAGGTGAAGGGAGGTTCCATACTCAGTCGATCAGCTGGGAGGTCTGCCATTTTCTGTTATTCCTGTTTTCCACGTAGCTTGCGGCACCTCATACATTTGTGAATTGTGCTGGTGATGCACCCCTTTGCTCCAACGATCCACAACCCTGCAGATCGGATTGCTCCTTCTGGGAAGTGCCAACCTTGGTGCTTGACCTTCTCGTGGTAGTAGCGCACAAGCAAAATTGCAATGTGGCTCTGGCTTGGGATAATGAGGGGGTTTCGTTCATTCTCATCTAATTTTACATTTCCTAGCCGACCACCGATCCCGAGCAAGCCGTCTTTGTCCATCCTGGGGTATAACTTCCTGAAGGAGCTGACCCTAGGAAGGTCTTCTTCCTTGTTGATGGATTGATCTCACTTGCATATAAGCTGCATGTTGCACACAACGGAAGATTAATTTCCTTGTTCTGGAAAGCTCATCTTCAGTGTGTGGCACTGTGCATTGATACCACCCATTGCAGCTACCAGTGGTGCCTCTCATCGGGTGATGGAAGCGGTCTGCGATATGCATTAGATGTGCTATCCCTCACACGAGCGTTTTCCATTTCTAGAAATGATCAAAATGGTGTGGATTCAGTGGACTTCTTGGTGGCACATTTGTGACTAAAGTTGTCACTTAAGGACAAATGTCCTTGTCTGACTCGGGCTCTACGAGTCCATAAGTCTCTTTGGTAGTGAAATAAACCACTGTGACGACGATCTGGGCTTGTGTCTTCATCTTTAGTATTTCTTTCACAGCTGGACAGCTCCGCTCCTCTCTCTCTCTGCCACGGCTGCACTCCGTTCCGCACGGCTGGTGGTTACTCGCGTCTCCTCTCTATCTCAACCTCTCCCGCTCCCGCACGCCACTGACACGCGGTGCGCTGGGAGTAAGCCTCCGGCCCGCCACGTGGCCGCTGGCGTCCCGGAGGCGAGCGAGGTAGTCCCGCTCTCTGACTCCACTCACTGACCCCGAGCCCTCTTCCGCTTCCCCTTATATCCCCTCGCCTACGTCACCAATCCCCGCCTACAGCCATGCCCCCTCACCAACCTTCGAGATGGTTACTTCCCGCGAGCCTTTTGAGCTCCGCCCCTAACCTCGGCCCATCCCTCTAATTTGGTGATGGCCCAAGCGGCGGAGCCTATCCACTGATCGGCGCTCATCGATTAACTCTCGTATTACAGTAGTACATGGGCCACCGTCACGTTGTAAGAGAAACGCTGGACCCGTCATCCAGATTGTTTGCTTCAGCAGAGATGTAGGGACAGACCTAGCTGGATTCTGAACGTAATTCCATTGCTCCTGCTGCGTTAATCTCCTGATGCGTTCCACCCTGTTGCTGATGTAGGTGTAGAATCTTCTGGTTTGTTTTTTTATGTAGCCTAGTACGACCTTGCTTTCCGTGTAGAACTTGATCGCATCCAGTTTAATGTCCAATCTATCTAAGATCAGTTCTGCCACTGCTGTAGCTAGAATGGCTCCACACAGCTCGAGCCTTGGGATTGTATGTTCTGGTAGTGGGGCCTTGCCGTGGAACTACTTCCAGGATTCTCACTCGGACGACAACTCCAGGTCACGGAACAGAGAGGCCATGGCCACAGCGACCACCGCCACAACCACCAGCAGAGCGACGAGCAGCAGCTTCATCTTTGTCTTCTTCCTGTCAGTCAGGACTGGCTTGGAGAAATTTGGAAGAACAAAATACAGCGAAGACACTGGATGTACAAGCGAAGTCGTGGTCAGCGTGGTGGTTTCATCGCACGTCTGTATGGTACAAACTTGACTTCTCTCTTTGAGTTTCTTTTTCAGCGTGAAGTGGATGGAACACGGATTGAAGAGCGACGTGCGTCCATTCGTGAGCACACTTGTTCTGAATGTGCTAATGCGGTCTGGTTTGTGTGTTCCATCGAGACAGACATCACCTACGATGACCCATCCTAGGTCAAGTCTCTGGGCATATGGAGCACCGTGAGGTCCATTGCGTTGATCGCGAACCTTGTGTCTCTTCCAAGCAAAAATAAAATCTGTGCCCCGTGATCCAATGGCGGGATGAACTCTCCTATGGGTTTCAGGTGTGGGTGGTGACGTGCGACTTCGGGTATGGGAATCTCGCTCCTGTCATCCGGTATCTCATTGCACTCTATCACCGTAGGAAGGACTAGCTGAATGGTGCTATCGATGGTTTCCACCATGAGGCCGCTCGCTCTTCTTACAGCTGTCTCCATCAATGCTGAACATGTTCTGAGCGTGTATGGAAAGGAATTCCCACATACGCTTAGCTGATCAAAGAACTCTGACCTTGCCAAAGACTTGTTGCTCTGATCGTCCATTATGGCGTACATCCTTACTGCCCTTTAGGATGTCCTTCGGGATACACTCGGGCGAGGAATATCTTTGAGCAAGATTTTCCTTTGAGGCCTGCTCCACAGACTTCTGTGCATTTGGTTGTGACTGACAAAGTGGGTGCGGCGGTCTCACCTTGCTCCCCGCCATGCTCTGCTTCGGGATCAGAATCCTTAGTGCCACTAGGTTTGGAGTAAAATGTGTGCAGAACAGTTGTGTTTGTTGCTGCCACATTCCTCGCACTTGATATCTGCCTTGCAATTCCTTGTGACTGTCTGGAATGTGGGTCTGATTTGATGCATCCTTGTCTGACCCCACACCGCCAGCACCACCATCAGCTCCAAAATTAACGTTAAGAGTGATATTCCTTATTTTTTATGGAATAGTTCTCTTTTTACATATATCTGTATTAAGCGTGTTTAAAGAAAAAAACAGTAATGGGGGCCTGTGAACGCCTCCCTTTAGACAACAAAGGCCAGTGTCCCTCAGACAAGGAGACATGGCATCTGGGACGTTAATTATTCACAAGCCTTGACTTGGAAAAGTTGAAAAGATTGGATTGACCACCACCGCATAGGAATATTTTCAAACATGGCAAATGTTAACTTGATGATAGAATGTACTGTTATAAAATGATGCGGCTCAGGTCAAAATGTTTAATATGACTATTTTGCATATATTTTTTTAAACAATTACTATTAAAACAATTACTATTACGCCATACTGTGTTTGATAAGCAGGTAAAACTTATTGATAATGCAAGGGGTACAACCAAAGCCACATCCGACCGCCTTCGTCTTCCCAGTGGCAATCTTTACATACCAGACCAGGTATTCATATTTAGACTGAGTCGACCTAAGAAGGGAAAATCGAACTTGGCAAACCAGGTTCTGCAGAGAGGACGACAAAATAAACCCAGAGAGAGAGAAAGGAAGGGAGGCCATCCCACACCTCGTGGACAATATAGAGGCCATTTCACAATAAACATGGCCACAGACACACACTACACCTGGGGATCAGGTTATACGAGTCAAAAAGACATTCTAAAGGGCAATTAAGAACATCAGCGTTCTCACAAGCCTTGGAATGACCTCCGAAGGAAGGATCGAAGTATGGTCGAGGTGACAACCACTGGCGACAGGATGTCCAGGCAGCCAGAACAAAAGGTCGACTAAAAACTGACCGGATGAATGCGAGGGGCGTGATAGTGGGAGAAGCTTTTAGGCTTTGGTGTGTCTTAGGGAAGAAATCCCTATATAACGGTATATGAAAATCACACAAACCAGTATTGCAACGGCAAACTCCGGGACTGGCACCCGTAATGAGCCAAGTTTTGAGTATTGCAGAGGCAAAGGCTCTGTCGCTTCACCAACCCGACTGAGTCTTTACTGTAACGTGCTATAACCGTGTGAACACGCAATCACTCCCCGGCTGTGTTACTGTAGGCAAAATGCATGGATGACTCAAGGGGTGTCTTCGAACACGCAAAAGCCCATATTAGGGGCTGTTGAAAATGTTAATTTTTTTGTCAAAATCTGACTCACGAATGTCTATGAATGCTGAATGAGCGTGGAATTACCAATATTGCGCTCTCACACCAGCACCACCTTGGAGTTTATATAAATTGGCGCTGAGTCCCACTCAAAATGAGCAGCAGCAACAGCGACTCCGAGTCCCCAGCTGGGTGCCGTGTGGTAGCAGGAGCAGTATTGGTATTCCCACTAACGTCATTTTCTTACAGGCTCTACCTGCAACTGCGCCATTTTACGAAAGTAAGTGAATGCGTACGCACGTGTCGTATGTATTGTACAGGGAGTGGTGGCACAGCGGTTAGCGCGCCACGCTATGAACCCGGCATGTCCACGTTATGACTGACGAAGTTAGATTGCCGCTCACGGCCAATAATAGAGACGGCAAACATTTGAACCGGGTCCTGGTCAGCCTATCCCCACCCCTATGGCGACTCAGCATTATATGAGTACCCTGGTGCGGTGTGTAAACATCAGCACTGGGGAGACAAAGGTGGCCTCCGGGCGTGCTGCTGGCCACACAACACCCTCGTGTGCCGTGCCGTGCTGATACTCGTTTGACAGCACTTTCCCCAACAGTCTGTAAAAGGCTATACGGGGTCGGTGGGGAGGAGCGGTCTTCATCAATTTTTTTGTGTCGCTCATGTGGAAAGCGCCTGCTGGGTTTCCGCTCCCCGTGCGAAGGAAACGTTCATGCCGTTCTTGTGTGCGACTGTTTATCGTAATTGTGACTGTGATTTCACGACTTGTTGGCTTTGTATCGACTCGCGCGTATCTCCATGCACTGCCATTCAGAGAAAGAATGGGCGATTGTTGTTGTCGTCTTCGTCAGAGTCATAACGTGGACTTGAACCCAGGTGCAAGGGGGAGTCGATAGCACGGATGATCTGGGGAAGGGGGTTCTCGACCACGCGGGCAGCAAAGGAGAATGAGCGACCTCCCGTTGAGAGAATGGTTAGTGGGAGATTGCTACTGAAAACCTTGATTGCTGGAGCCGAGATAGATCGAGAGTGCCGAGGAGAATAGAGTGAGAGGTGAGCGGGGAGTGTTAGCATAGATTTGAAGTTTTCGTGACTGCAGGGATCCATCCTCTTTGGTTTTCCCGCCTCTCTTACCTATATAGCCGCTTGTTACAGCAGCCCTTTTGCCCACGTCTGCAATTGTTTCTTGCTGTGGTTGTGCCACCTGATAACGGACGTTTGTGTTGCGCCCGAAACGTCATTTAATTTATTTTATTCCTACGTGACTTTACCGAAATAGCCAAAGAGTATAGTGTTAGCATACTTTGTGTAGGCGAGTAGAGTGAGACGAGAGTGTAAGCATAGTTTGTGTCGGGGAGTAGAGTGAGACGAGAGGGGAGTGTTAGGAAAGTGTGTGTAGGAAAGTAGTGTGAGAGGGCGAGAGGTCGTGTGTGTTTTGAGTGCCCCTGTGGAGGATCTTGCAGACTGTGAGTTGCATCTTGAAACTGATTGCCACCCGGTGGAGTGATCGGGCGATGGGGTGAGGGGAGGGGAATATCGGCGAGGTAGACTCGGTCGCGTCCTGGACACGCAACGTGGAGTCGGAACACCTCCCACGGGGTGCGTTGATCATGTTCTTGTTCCGTGTGCGCCAGGAGGAGCGAGGGGTCGTCGTGTCCGTGCTGTCGGTTCAATCGAATCCCCAAACTCGCTGGACAAGCGGGTGCCGCGGTGGCGAGATATTAACTACCTCGCCTGGTATACAGGAGGTCGTGGGTTCAGTCCCGACCCTGACGCCAGTTCTACATTTTGAGTTTGTAGGACTCTCTTTCTCTCTCCCCCTGGTCGCGTGGAATTTTCTCCGGGACCTCCGGTTTTTCCCTTCACATTTAGAATCAACATCACCCATTTAGAGTATCTGGCTGCGATAGTTTCCACATGATGAAAAGCCACTTCGTTGAGCTGTCGTTTGCGATGGCCAGGTCACTTCTGAAAAAGAGCTACATCGCTCATTGGGGCCTTACCTGGTAAAATTAAACAGTTTAGTAAAATGTCTTCAAAGGGAGTGGATTGCGCAACTTTACACTGCTCTCTTGATACGATAGCCAGATGTGTTATTCGGGCTTGGTCCATGGTAGACCCCAGGTACATTTTTATGAAATTTTTTTTTAATATTTTTTCTTAACATTTACTTGTTTATCTGTTGATTCGGAGGGTGCCCCATTGTGACCGACTGGGCCCCTATGCGTTGCATAACGTTGCCACATACCCCCAACCATAGTTGTGCCCCTGAGTGGCATCTCTCTGCGCAAACACTCAGGCGGGTCCGAGTATTCGAATGAAAGGGATGACAGATGGAGCCCACCCGTCTCATTTAGAATCAGAATATGTATTTATCCCGCAGGAATCATATGAGCGAGGAGGCTCATTTTTCATGGACGTCGAACCCCTGGTGTCAGGCTTGGAAGCCTGGGGTGCGCTTATATGAGCGGCGGCGCAGCGGTTAATCGTCACCGACACCAGTGACGATTATCTGAAATGACCCTGGGCCTTACCTAGGTCGACTCAGCCTTAAATGCGCAAACATCGCCACTAGGGGAGACAAAGGCAGCCGGTTGTAGGTGCTGGCCACCCACCCCCATCATGTGCCGTGCCGGCCTTCATAGGTCCTACACGCCAATAGCATTTGCCCCAACAGTCTGTTCAGGCTATACGGGGGGTCTTTGTTTTTATTAGATAGACTGTAGGCTTAGGCGAGAGTCGTATGAAATGCTGGATTTTCTCGCCCTCGGTATAAGGCCAACGGTGGACTTACCGACAGAGTTAGTCACTCAAGAGGAGCGTCACTTGCAATCGACTCCATTCCTGGCTCTCAGTCAGTCGTTCAACTTACACGTTCCTGTGGCGAGTATGTGAATTCATCTCTGCAGCACGTGTGTTATTGCAGCGCGTGCGTGCACACACACACAAACCCAGTTGGTTTGGGATGCAACAGGATTCGTTTAGTAGATGCTCGAATGTTCTAATGGCCAATCCCTTAACAATCAGTGTGGGGCTTAATCTAAAACTTTTTATTTTATTTTACTAGGCAAGCCCTACTGAGCTACGTAGTTCTTTTTCAGAAGCGACCTCTCTATAAATGATAGCTCAACGAAGTGGCTTATCACGTGGAAATGTATTCTAAACGCATGGTATGTTTCTAAATGTGGAGGGAAAAAACGGAGGAACCCAGAGAAAAATCCACACGACCACGGGGAGAATATGCAAACTCTAAATATATAGGCTTCAGGGTCGGGATCGAACCCACGACTTATTGTATACCAGGCGAGATAGTTAACATTTCGCCACCGTGGTATCAGCAGAACCATGAGAAAACCCACGGTGGCTAGATGTCATCTCCCTCGCCTGCTATGCAGGTCTTCGGTTCGATCCCGACCCTGACAATGCCTGCTGTATATTTGGAGTTTGCGGTGTCTCTCTCTCTCTCCCCATGGTCACGTGGATTTATGTCCAGGTCCCTCCAGTTTGGCCTCCTCCACATTTATAATGAACGTCATGCGTTTAGAGTAATTTGGCTGCTACTATAAATCCACACGTGATGATGATGATAATAAGCCAACTTCGTTGAGCTATCATTTGTGATCGGCAGGTCGCTTCTAGCAAAAAAGAGCTGCTATATAGCAGCTCAGTAGGCCCTTATCTGGTCATATAAACAGAACTCCCAGAGCACCGGGCAGCAGAACTAAGAGCCCCCCTACATGACTCAATCTTCCACGGGTTTTTCTCTGTCTCAATCGCAGTGTCCGCAATGCGCTCCTCCGTGGGCGTGCTGTGCTGGATGTGCGCCCTGCTGTGGGGGGCCCTGGAGGGAGCCCCACGCTCTTCCTTGTCGGGCTCCACCGCCTACATCATCACGGTGCAAGGCCTGTGCAGCAAGATCTCGGCCCACCTGGAGCAGGTGCAAGACGAATACGTGAGTCAGTTTAAACACGTACTAGTAGTAGTGGGGCTTTTTGCGACCAATATTAATCGTGCTAATCGGAGGTGCACCATACTTCACCATGCGGGTCAGTGTGGGCTTGTGAAAGTTAAGGGGGCACAGGGACCTGTTTAGATCTATAAATAAACAACAACAAGGAAAAAAACAGAGGGAAGTGAACTGGAGGTCACCGAGTATAGACGGCAGCTGGCTGATAGACTATAGGACGTAAAAAAAACTGGGGTCGAAGCAGACGAAATAAAACCAATTTAACACGTAGTAGTAGACGTTTGCGACTAATATTACCATACAGGAGGGTTTTTTGGGTTAGATCGCGTAAAATATAAATGTGTCGTTAACCACAATTCTGGTTTGTCACCTGATGAGGCTGATTTGTAATTGCTGGGTGAAACGTCACGGAACTTAAATTGTAAATGTGTGTTTACTCTCCAACACACAACCGGTGGTGCTGAACTAGCAACTAATCGGCATATTTTGTTTACGTGAACAAACCTCTTACTAATTGGGCTGTTTCGGGTGATGGTTTTAAGGACACGCATTAATATTGACGCGATCCAACCCAAAAACATGAAAATAAACCTCTTATTGAGATACGCGACTGCTCCCCGCTCGGACGTGCCATGCTAACCGGGGGGTGGGGGTGCCGATGTGGGGCTGCTGTGCCACCACTAAATGGACACTTTGTCAGAGCCAAGGTCACTCTCCTGTTTTGGTGCTCCCCTCCCCCCTCATACTCCGATTAACACGGTTGGCAATGTACAGTGCTAAAGAAGTTCAACATACGTCCACACACCGCACCTCCAATTAGCACAGTTGGCTACGTACCATGCGAAAGGTTAAACGTAAATACTGTGAGGGTTGCTTTTTTTATTAATATAAGAGAGAGGAGTTCGGATCCATTTTCTCTCCCATGCAATTTCCTCAAAAGTATAGGGCACCAGTGCGGACTTTTAAACGTGCTTGAATGGTGGCATAAAGGAGGGACAATAACTCAATCAAGAATACCGTCTTAACGAGATTTACAATGTATTAACTATGCCTTGAGACACTTTGTCCAAGGACGCGAATCAAACAATAGCAGATAACTTCACACATCTACACAGCACCCCCGCGCGTCAACATTTACAGATCACCGAGTGCATCCGACTTTTCAAAACTCTCGCATCACGCCCCCGTGCGTCAACAAATCAAATAACACCGAGTTCGACTGACTCATTGAAACTTCTCGAAACTCGCACAACACACGGCTACACAGCTCCCCCTAGTGTTGACAGCAACAGAGCATCGTGGTTATTAATCATATACAGAAAACACGACGACCGTTTGTGCCAACCCTCACGTACACTCCACTCTTCGGTGCTGGGTTGAGGCAGAATCATTCCAGGGTACACGAATCTGCAGTCAAGGTCATATGCAGCCTCAAAGATTCCCAGGACCCAACGGTAGTGTCTTGGTTTGCATTTACAACCACGCTCTTTAATTATCCACTCAAAAGACGGCCTTTGTACTTGGTGGAATCATCCAACCACACGTTGAACAGCTCGGCGCAACTGCAGTGGTGGTCACGAAGTTTACGGTGTCAATCGCGGTTTTGAGAGACTCTACGTGGCGACAGTCTCAGGACTTGGCCGGTGCCCCCAACCGCACTTTGAACAACTCAACGCGGCTGCAGTCGAGGTCCCGGAGCCGCCCGCCCGGTAGTCGTCGCTCGTATTCTCTGGGAGTCACGTGGTCGTGATGAGCATCGATCGTCTCTCTCCGTACCCGCTATCGCCCGCTTAATTCCAAAAATGTAATCCCACCCTCACGGCCTCTCTCCCTCCATAGCAGCCATTCAGCTGTCTTTTGCTGGGCGGCAGACATTCGTCTCTCGCCTGCCGGCTCCTGTCACTCAGCTTGGCATGTGCAGTGTCCTCCAATCGGAACCTCAAAAATTCGTTACATTAAACTAGATTTTTTTGTTGGCAACACCTGGCCACCAATCACGCATAGCCCCGTTGACTGCTTCCTCGATCCCACGTGGCCTGTCCTGACTTGGAATGGATGTCCCGCCCCCAATTAAGGCAAGACGAAGTGGTGCCGTTGCTTCCAGAGGGTGGGGAAATTTGGGGGATTCTCCCCTCTCACCAACCACTCACCCCCCTTAACTGATGTAACCTCAGCCACCTCGGCTCACCCCTACGCGACAGTGCTCACCCACACTGTTACAAATATATATGTACTAACTTTACTACCCGGCTTCGCCGGGGGCTTGGATTCACCACGCCCCAGTGGCGATGTTCACACACCACACCAGTTACTCGTTTGAGGCTGAGTCGACCGAGGGGAGGCCCAGGACCGGTTCAAATAATCGTCAGCGGTGGTGGCCGTGAGCGGGAATCGAACTCAGGTCGCCGGGTTCATAACGCAGCATAGAGCTAACCACTACACTACCGATCCCCCCTCACACACGCGCTCTCGTCCATAGGTACACATACACGCGCTTGCTGCAGACACACACAACTTTTAGGGTGCGTACGGCAGTAAACGACTGAAATAATAAAGCAATACTGCGCGAAGAACGCCTTAGACTCACATGCGCAGGTCAAATGACAGATGTGACGTCACAGCTCACTTGCCGTGCAAAATATATGCATTATTGCGCCCCTCCCTCCCCCCCAACAAATACCAAAGGCTATTTTTATAATTTTTGCATGGCGTACAGTCTGGAAAGTACCCACATGGCAAATTTCAAGTTTGTTGCATGTCGGGAAGTATGCTAAACATTTTGAACAGACACACATATCCCCAAATTTCCCTTTTATATATATAGATGTGTAGCATGCGTTTCGCTGCGTGTGTTGCGAATGACATGTGATGTTGATGATGTAGATTTGTGCGCTATGAAGAAGGGGGCCCATTGCACAAAACGTCGTCGATTAGATTTGTTTTCTTCTTCTCCCCGTTAGAAGGCCACACAGTTGTGAATTGAGTTTGTTTGTAAATTATTAATTGTGCTTGTGTACTACTGCACCTTTGATGAGCACGGTAGGCTACACAGTGCAAAAGAAGTTCAATATACAGGCAGTCCCCTGATTACGGAAATCCGACTTTACGGAATCATATTTTTAAAACATTCAATATGCGGAAATGCTTGTGTGAGTTACATAAGTGCAAATATTGCAGCGCGGTGAAGCTGTGGATGAATAACGTGGAGCAAGGTGGCCCGCCTTAAGTTTATTTAATGAATTATTTACTGTATGTACTGTGGATCTGTGTAACCGTTCCAGCCTTTATAGGTGCTCGCTAATAGCACTTGCCCCAACAGCCTTAACATGCTGTTGGGGCAGCCAATGAATGGGAGGGGAGGGGTGATCGTCTACCTGTAAAACAACACTGGGGCTGGCTGTGGATGTCTCTCCAGCGGAGAGCAGAAGAGGTGGAATGCTCGCGGTTGCAAGATCTCCTCGAGGTCGCCGGCGTCCAGAGCTTGGATGAGTCGCTGCCGTGCCCCATCAGCAAAGTTGGCTCGGTAAGGCACCACCGCAGTACGCACGCCCCACCGTGGTGGACTCGTTCACCAACACATCCCCGTCGTGGTAGACTCGTTCTGTTATAGGGTTGAGCGTCACCAACCATATGGCAGCTCACCCAGTGTGAGGACAATGACTATCCTTCATTCTCGCAAGATAATCAGTGGTGCCAGGTCGATGTGGAGAAGATAACAACAATCGCCTCGAAGTGACGGTGACGTCACCATGGCGCTTGTGGCAGGCTATGTAGACTTTGAGGCCACATGAAGTGTCGAACCGTCCGCTGGTAGGAGGTCATGGGATAGATCCAGCAGGTGCCATGGGTTGACTGACTGACATGACTGGCCGATGCACCACCTGTGCCCCCTACTATGCCAACTTGCTGTGTTTTAACCACCCGGCGCTCCGCTCATTGTTGTGAGCGTCGCTCCTCTGCTCTCCATTGTTGCTGGAGGTCGACTGCCTCCAACTGCCAAGTAGCATCCTTCACGAGCCTCCTCTAATGAAGTCGATCTTGACACCGCTAGTACCAGTTATTGGCAAGTCCACTCAGCTCCATATCCTCTCGTAGCACATAATTCCATTTCTTCTGTAGCCTATTCCGTGCCTGTTTAGCCCCTGCTATCCGGCTGAACAAAAGCTGTTTGGGCATGCGGCTACATGACCCAGCCAATGCAGCCTTGCCTGCCGAAGGAGCTCACTGATGGGACTTTGACCAGATCTTTCAAGGATTTCGGAGCTCCTCACACAATCCAGCCTGGTTAAACCGAGGATGGATAGTAGACAGGCCAGCCTAAATGTTTCACCCCGCGAAGATGTTCCATTAGGGGGGTCCAGGTTTGGCAAACCGTGACCGAGAAGGTAGCTTCCACACAACATGTAGCCGATGAAAAGATAATGATGCCACTCGACTGATTCGGAGTTAGACCTCTGCTATCAAACTAGAGCTGGGCATAAGCACACTGCCCAGGTATAGAAACCTTTTTACTCTCTCCACAACTACCCCAACAATGGGGAGTTGAGGGGGTAGCTTGTTTGATGACACAAAATTCCCAGGCAGGTGCTTCGTTTTGGAGGAGCTGATGGTAAGGCCTCACTTAATAACATGCTCCAAGTTCAGCACCAGCTCCTCAGAATGATCAGCAATCACTATATCATCAGCATACATAACATGGCTAACCAATAGGGAGCCATCCCTTGACCACACCCGAGCATCATCAGCCTCCCATTGTATATATATATATAAAATCGCAAATCTGTCTGTCTGTCTGTGTGTGTCTGTCTGTCTGTGTGTCGCCGGACCATACGCAGTTTCATTGGACGAAATGTGAGGGATTTGCGAGACGCGATTGGTCCGTTTGGTTTTCCACGGCGGTTGCCCCTGGCAACGGGTAGCAACGCATTCGCTGCGGGGTGGACGCCATTTTTAATTCCCGTTAAAAATATGCGCACGCATTAACACGCGACTCTGAGGTAAATTCATCAAAGTTTCACGTCCTCTTCACTCTCCCACCACCCCAATGTGTGCAATTACTATTATAGGGTCGGTAGATAATACAATTATAGCGATTAGACAGTATTATTGTAGCGCGGGGGGGGGGGGGGGGAACGGCCCCAGTACCCAGCCTCAGCCGGGTGGGCAATTTAGGCGAGGCCGGAGGCTCTGCACGGTACTAGGCCTCGACACCCCACCACACTATAGGCCGTACATATTACTGCACAGCGGCCGAGGAGATCGTGGCTGGGGGGGGGGGGGGGCAGGGGTAGCAGCCCATCTGTGTATATATGTAAGGTTATTAAGAAATATATTTTTCACCCGGGCAACGCCGGGTACTTCTGCTAGTTGTATATATACCAGATGGAAATTCCTCTGGTACAGCTCTGGAAATCTTCTCGAACTACGTGGTCAAAAAAGATGTAAAACAATGTAGGTGCCAGAATACATCCCTGTCGCACCCCAAGGTGAAGAGATAATGGCTCTGACTCCCGGACACGTAGCTTTACCCAGGCCCACCCACCATCATGAAGGTCCTTAAATATTGTGTGCAGAGAGTCAAGGATTCCAAAAACACGGAGAACAACCCAGAGCTCAAACATATTTATGGTATCATAAGCCTTGAATAGGTCAATAAAGTAGAGTTGTAGGTCCTGTTGGAATTCCCTACACCTCTGCTGTAGCAGACGAACAGAAAATGTGGCATCTGTGCAGGAACGCCCTGGCCTGACACCACATTGGGGCTCTGCAAGCCTCTCCTCAGCGTGCCTTGCAAGGCGATGTTGAATAATCCTTGCCAGATCATTTCCCAGCACGTTAAGGAGTGAGATGCCCCTGTAGTTGTTACAGTCTGTGCGGTAAGGGGGGGACCACCAGGCCATCCTTCCAATCCTGCGGAACCTGTCCAGTGGTCCAGACTGTTATTATTACGTGGTATAGGGCAGTCTACACAAACACCACCCTCCTTCAGCAGTCCGCTTGGGAGATCATCTCTGCCCAGCACTTTTCCTGGTCTCAGACTCTGAATTGCTTTCCTTCGTCACTCACAGAGGGCGACTACTTCTTCCAATATTGGAGGCAAGACAGCTTCAGCAGGGTCACCTCCACTTTGTTTCCATTATGTTTTCTGGGCCGAGGGATTTCCCCTCCCCTAAGATCTCGGAAATGCTCAGCAAATCTGCAAACTTGTTCCTTGGAGTCGGAGATCGGATCACCTTTCTTTCCATAAGAATGGTGGTATGTGCAGCACTGCGAGTTACATGTTTGATGGAATTAAAGAGTGATTTGTGATCGCGAGCTGCAGAAGCAGACTCCATCTCCTCAGCAACCCGCAACCATCACTCATCCTTGCAGCGCTGCACACTCTCCGAACCTCCGAGCGAAGACTGTGGTAAGTGTTGCACACTTGAAATGAAGGACGTGGGCAGGTGCTCCAAATCGAGGGCAAGCACATTTATTGTGGTTAATAGCAATCTTGTGAAGAACAGCACCGTCACTCTGTAAAATGCAACAGCACGTGTTACAACAGCATTTCTTCTGAGTTGCCATTAACCATGTGGCTGGTTTACACGTGCGGTTCTTCATTAACAGTTTTCTCTTAAATCCAATTCTACTACTGATAAACCATCTTTGTCTTTGACAATCACATTTGCACATCACTATTCGAATATTTCTTTAATCCTAAGCTGTATGTCTATTTATACCATCCACTTATATCGGTATCTTACACCCATTATATGTACTGTATATGTACAGTATACGTACTGTATATCACCATTGTACAGCTTACTACTTTACATGTGTTCTATTCTCAATAGCATTGCAAGTAGTCATAATCTGGGTACATGGGCATGGTTATACACTAAACAGTATTAGAGTTAGAGAATTACAATGACAGTAAGTAATTACAGCGTGTCATCCCTTTACAATGCACAGTGTTAAAACGCCTATAATTGCATATATCACAAACGAACAATTCAAAGCCAAGCTTAAAGTCTAGAACAAGTCTAGAAGAAGTCTAGAACATTTATATAACGATCAAAAACAACCTTTGGGTTCTTTACCTGTGTAATAACGGTCGTTGAGGCGACTTCTGGAATCCGTCTTTTATTCAACTTGTATTACAGCTTTCCTTCACGCTGCTGACAGGCAGCGTGAGAGGGATAGAGAGAGACGCACCGCCACGTGGCAACCCGGAGCCCCGCTCCCGCGTGGCCCCCCTCATCTGTTCGTTCCCGTTCTGACCACGTGTCGTTCGTCTCCACCCCTATTTAATACCCGGGTCACGTGGTACGTTTCCACCAATCCTGGTTAGCCTCCATGGAATATTCCAGGCTCCCTCGTAAGCTCCCGGGACCACGCCCCTGACTCATCTCCCCATTGGCTGTGGCCAAAGCCAGCAGGACCAATCCTCTACTTACAGCTGTCACCTTTCCATTACGTCAGGGCCACGCCCCTAGGCTTCCCCCCATTGGCTATAGACCAGGACCGGCAGAGCCAATCATCATGACGAGTTGTGATACGTCAGTGAGCCAGATATATCCTCACATTACACCTGTAAAATGCAACAGCACATGTTATAACAGCATTTCTTCCGAGTCGCCATTAACCATGTGGCTGGTTTACACGTGCGGTTATTCATTAACCCTGCCAGCCACCTACAGGCCCAACTCAGTCATCACATGCTGCTGTACACACATGCACTGATGCACTGCACAGCACATCAGGACTTTCACAGAACCACACTTTACTCCCTTGCTGCACAAGGATATAATTAAAAGAGTGATCCATTCCTAATGTGCCACATAAGCCTCCTCATTAGACTTGTTGAATCCCTCCACTGATGTTCATCTTTGGTGAGGGTGGAAGCAACCACCACTACCATTCCTCGCCTCCCATTGATGGGGCGGTGAGCTCGCAGTAGCTTGGGATAAAAAAATTCCCACACCGCACCGCCACGCCCCCTTCATTATTTTGTTCAGAAGAACCATTCCCTGTTGTTTATCTGTCTCCTGTCCTGAGTGGAGGACTGTCTACCGCTCATGGTGACTGGAGCAAGAGCCAGTCCACTCGACCTCCTGAATGTCACAGAGATCCAGGTGGTACCAGTCCAGCTCCCGACAGAGCAGTAGCACCCACTCCTCTGCAGTGATCGTTTGAACATTCCACATGGCCACTCCCAGTGTTTTTTTCCCATTTCTAGAGGAACCCCGAGGGTAACGGTTCAGTCTCCCGGCTCTGCCAAATGGGGTTTGACCAGGAGACGTCATAGACGGCTGTTCACCCGGGGCCTCCGGCACAAACTTAGTTAGATTTTTTTCCACGTAGTTTAGTGGTGATTAAATTTAAGGTGAAGAAGTTACCAGCCGCTCACACCTGTCCAGAGCCCCCTTTGGCGCTGTGGTGGCTACAAACGCTATGAGGGGAATGGTCATTTGATATTGGCCTTCCCCCGATGGCATTGCTCACCAGAATGCGTCTCCTTCACATCTCTGTCTCTCCACATGACTCGTCATTAAATCATTGTTTTATACATCTCATCAGCATCACGAACCTCTTCTCGGAGCGCATAATATGTGCAGCATTGCAATTCAGGGCGAGGAAAACTCTGGATTGGCTTCGACACACGGTGCCTCATCGGCAGCAGCAGAGTCAGACTCGTTTGATTCAATGCTGGCGAACAACTACCAGACATTACAGGCAAGAACCCTACCCTTTAAGATCTGGAGTCTAACAGCCATCTGGGGATGTGTCTTGTAAAACATATATGTATGTTTCACTTCTTTAGCACCATACAGAGCTAACCGTGCTAATCGGAGGTGCGGGGGGAAGGACGACAAACTAAACACAAAAAGCGGTTCTGAATATATCAGTTTTCAATCGGGACGATTTAAAAGTGCATAGCTCTAGTGGCTTCTTAACATCGGAAGGAAGATGCGTTCCAGACGGCCAAAGTAGCGAATCTAAAGTACACGTTGCAGTGACCATCTTTTTTCGATTGGGGGTTTGGGGGATACCCCATTGACTTTGATAAGGGACCCTGTCTGAAGGATGGTTGGGGGCTGTTTGACTTTGATGGGGCCCGTGGTTGAAGGAGGGGGATGAGGAAGAGCAGGAGGAGGATGGGGAGGAGGAGGGGGAGGAGCCCGTTCTGATAGGTGACAGAGATCATGATAGGTGACACAGATTATGTTTGGTGACACAGCTAATGATTGGTGACACAATTTATGATAGGTGACACAGATTATGATTGGTGACACAGCTGATGATTGGTGACACAGCTGATGATTACAGGTAACACAGATGATAGGTGACAGCTAATGATGATTGGTGACACATCTTATGATTGGTGACACAGCTGATGATAGGTGACACAGCTGATGATTGGTGACGATACAGCTGATGATTGGTGACGACAGAGCTGATGATTTGTGAACTCGGCCTGCCCTGTGGTGCAGGACTGCTCCCCGGTGATGCTGTGCGTGGGGGCCATCCTCGCCAGGCTTCGCATCTTCCAGAGCCTCCTGCACGCACTGCCTGAGATGGCGAGCGGGTCGGAGATCCGCAAAGACCTCGGAACTCTGCAGGCAGAGCTCGCCAATCAGGTGCGCCGCAAGCTCCGACAAATTTAAAACTCAACCATTTGTCACATTTTCCTTGGCAACCATGTCTCTTAAATCACTGTTGATTGTATTTTGCCATTTTTTATGTTGGAATAATTTCCAGATACCTGCCTTGTTTCGCTCATCCCCTGCTTTAATATTTTCCCTACTTCCACATTTGGGTGATCTTCCTGGCTTTAATTTTATGCGCAAACACTTGAATAAATTTCACCTATATTTAATTACATATTACAGGTTTTTGGGGTTGATCGCGTAAATATAAATGTGTCGTTAAACCCGTCACCACCCGTAAATTAGTAAGGTGTGTCACGTAAACAAAACGTGACAATTAGTTATTAGTTCAGCACACCGGTGTGCTGGAGAATAAATCCACAACATTTACAATTTGAGTCCTGTGACGTTTCACCGGTAATTACAACTCAGCCTAATCAGGCAACAGCCACAGTTGTGGAGAAATCCTCCTCCTCTTTCGACCTTAAATAGAGGGGGAGAAATGTAATGCCATCACTTGTGAGCCAATCAGGTGCGAAGGCCAGAGGGTGGGTAATGTATTCATATAAATTACAATGGATATCTATTATTGGTCGCGAAAGCCTATGAGTTAATATGTATTTATTTTACCAGGTAAGGCCAAAAACTAAGCGCATGTAGAGCTATTTTTTAGAAGTGACCTGGGCATCACAAATGATAGCTCAGTGGAGTGACTGGCCACATGGAAATGTATAGCAGCCAAATACTCTAAACGCTTGACGTTGATTATAAATGTGTGGGGGAAATCTGGAGGACCCAGAGAAAAATCCACGCGACCACGGCGAGACAGACATGCAAACTCCAAATATACAGAAGGCGTCAGGGTCGGGATCGAGCCCAGGACCTCCGGCATACCAGGCAAGATAGTTAACATCTCTCCACCGTGAGGTGCGGGGGGAAGGATTGGTGACACAGCGGGTGAGCCACACCAGTTATGTCACCAATCATCAGCTGTGTCACCAATCATCAGCTGTGTCACCTGTCATCATCTGTGTCACCTATCATCTTCTGTGTCACCATCACATCTGTGTCACCCATCATCACAGCTGTGCCACCAATCATCAGCCTGTCATCGCCCGTCAACCCCTGGTGCCCGTGCGCCGCTCTTTCACAGTTCATGGCCCCGTCGCCGGTGACGCGAGCGGAGGGGAGTGCCGAGGCGCGGATGAGCAATGCTCTGCGGGACCAGCTGGGCGACCGGTGGGACCGGGAGACGGCCACCGTCTGCATCCTCGACCGCACGGACTTCGCCGTTAAGATAGTGGCCCGCACCTTCCACCTGCTGCAGCCCTGCAGGAACTCGTTCACTTAGCGGTCTCCACCGTCCCCCACCACACCACCCCCCATCCCCTATCACCCCCCATCGCCACTACCCCACATCCCGGGTGCTGGGGTTTCCACCACGTTAGCCGGAATAACCACAGGGAGGTGGGGGTGTTCCGGCAACCACGATAACAAGAAGAGCCATCTCTCGTTTTGTTTTACGAATTCGGTTAAAAAAAACGGACCCTCAATATGTTCCAAGAGTCGCACAACAACGCAATGCGTCGACGCACGAGAGCGGCGATCCTTCATCAGTAACGTCACGAAGCAGCTTCTTGAAGTGCCGCACGCGACCACGGAGCAGCAAATTACCGAGCCCCTGCCCATAACGAGGTCACTCTCTCAGCCACACAACGTGCACCCTTAAGCCAAGCCAAGTTTTCACGATTTTTCGAGGGACTTCACGAGCTTGAGCGTTTTCTTGTTGCACGCTCACGCATCCAATTCGACATGGGACGTGGTTTTTGTTGTTGTTGTTGTGTTGTTTATTGTTCAACGACTCCTCATCTGCCAAGGAGAGTCGATTCGTTCACGTGCCCACAGACTCCTTGCATCCAGTTCGAGAGAACGCGGCCCGATGTTACCACCACGAAAGACAAAGATCCCCCGTGTAGCCTGAACAGACTGTTGGGGCAGGTGCTGTTAGCGAGCACTTATGAAGGCCGTCACTGTGGCACACGAGGGGGTGGGTGTCTTCGTCTCACCAGTGGCGATGTTACTACACACCGCACCAGGATACTCACTTGAGGCTGAGTCGACCGAAGGGGAAGCCCAGGAACCAGTTCGGATAATCATCCCTGGTGTTGATGGCCGTGAGCGGGGATCGAACTCGGGTCTCGATCGCGCCCTACTGTCTTGACCATCACTACCACCATCAGCAACAGCAACAAGAATGGAGACGTGTATCGGAAACGTCTCGCGAAGATGGAAATCCTGCCAATCGTAATTTGTGACGAATAAAAAAAAGTGAACTCCTGACAAGTCAAATCGTGGGGTTATTAAACTTATTTCTCGAGTGTTGTATTTTATCTTTGTTCGGCCTGCGCACGCATCTCACGTGCTATCGCGGTCTGTGCTTTAACTCCTATAAGATATATTCTTCATTAGAACGCGATTTTTCTAAAACACGGCGTTCTGCAGGAATGCCGCGTTACGGGAGAGTGGACTATACAGCATCATGGGATGCTATCAGCAGGAATTACACTACGTCAAATTAAAATATTTTTACGAGCATTAATATTATTATTACAATGGGAGCGATTTTTGAAGCGCTTTTAATGACTCTTGAATGACTCTTGGCACGCCCTGGATACCCACTTACCTAAGTTAAATTCTCAAGCCACGGCTAACATCAGTGGCGATTGGGTCCCACTCTGATTCACCAGTCTGCACTGACCATGGTGATGAAGCTTGGCCAAAACTAACCTCCTCCCTCCTCCCCCTCCATGACCTTCATCCAGCAGTGGATTGCCAAAGCGATGAGAATTGTGAACATGTGTTGGGTTCATAATAGAGGTTTTTTGGGTTAGATCGCGTAAATATATAAATGTGTCGTTAAAACCCGCCACCACCCGACACAGCCAACTAGTAAGGGTTGTCACGTAAACAGAACGTGCCAATTCGTCACTAGTACAGCACTAACCGGTGTGTTGGAGAGCCAAGCCACAACATTTACAATCTGAGTACGACGTTCCGCATTTATATATTTACGCGATCGAACCCAAAAAACCTCTATTATGGATGATATTGGTCACGAAAGCATACGTGTTAATGTGTTGGATGACCTCACATATATTGTTGAACACTGAATACCTTTTCCGCTGTATAGTATATGATGAGTAATATTGAGATTATATATGTGCGTATGAGATGTTAAGATAAAAAAAGCTGTTACCGTAATAAATAAACGCTCTTTATTTATAAATATAATGCGAGCTTCGATCATTTACAGGGCGGGCACGATCCACAGCTTAAGATTGGCACGCGCTCGTTTCGTTCCGCGTCCCCCCGCACGCACTGACGGACGGGTGACCCGTCGGCCGCTCGTCGCAGCGCTTCGCAGTTCGACACGGGAGAAACATCCACGCGACCACGGGCAGAGAGAGAGAGACAGAACACGCAAACTCCGAATATACAGCCGGCGTCAGGGTCGGGATCGAACCCACGACCTCCTGTATACCAGGCATGGAAGTTAACATCTCCAAGCTACCGTGGCGCCTTTGAATGGCTTCTTCTCGGGTCTGGCTCCTTGCGCTTGCAATGAGTGCAGGCGTCTGGGTCCCTGCCACCCCCTCTCCCTCCGACGTGGGAGTTGTTGCTCCTCCAGGCACTCTTCGCATTTGTTTTACTCAAACGGAATGGACGCGAGGCGTCGTGGGTTAAACGCCTTTAAAGAAAAATACAGAGACAGAGATCCCCCCCCCCACCCCCCGTATAGCCTTAAACAGACTTTTAGGGGCAAGTGCTGTTAGCGAGTAGCACCACCTACGAAGGACGGCACGGCACACGACGGGGGTCGGTTTGCCAACACGCTCGGCCGCCTTTGTCTCCCCAGTGAGGATGTTAACGCACCGCACCATGTATTCATTTGAGGCTGAGTCGACCTGGGCGAGGCCCAGCACCGGTTCAGATAATCGTCACCGGCGTTGATGGCAGTGAGCCAGAATTGAACTCTGGGTCGCCGGGTTCGTCGCGTGGCAGCCGCGCTAACCGCTACGCTACTGCGTGCACGCACACACAGAGAGGGCCACGGCTTTTTTAGCTAACACTTCAGTTAGGTACTATTTGGTTCTTTCAGTAAAGTCACGTAGGTATAAAATAAAATAAATCACGACGTTCCGGGCGCAACACAAGCGTCCGTCATCAGGTGGAAAAGCGTGGTCTGCTGCTGAGGCAGACTGTTTTAAAAGGTTTGAAATGGGTGTAGCCCAATGGTCATAAAGAAGTGGCCGGTGCTAGTGATGTTAATGTGAGAAATTAGCATGATGCTAATGTGATAAATTAGCATGTAACTGTAAGATAAGAGTAGAGCGGACTGCTCATCGAGGGCACGGACGTGGCTATGTTAATGTGAGATTAGATTGTTAATGTGAGAAATCAGCATGTAACTGTAAGATAGGAGGAGAGCGGCCACCTCGACGAGGGAGTGCAACCCAACGGGTGCAATCCAAAGGGCATGTGAGTATGAGAGTGCAATCCAAAGGACATGAGAGTGCAATCCAAAGGCATGAGAGTGCAATGCAAAGGACATGTGAGCATGAGAGATCTAAGAGAGAGGCATAGAGAGAGGGACACACAGAGAGTCGGAAATAACAGCTGACATAGGCAGGTAGGATGGAAACATCACAGTCAGTTAAGACTTTACCTGGTTAATAACGTCCTTCCAATGATTGCTCAGTTTGTACCCATCCTCTCGGTTCAAGCTGTGTCTGTGTTTATATTACTGGATGGTTTCATGAACACATCTCTGAAGGTAGCCGGTAGGTTTGTAGAGTACCTCCGTCTTGGAAAAATAAATTTCGTGTGAGCCCACAGCGTTAAAACAATGATCAGCAACGGCAGAGAGGTATTGGTCCTATTGTGTTTCAGATCTGCCTTGTGTTCACGAATGAGGTCTGAGACATGTCGTTTCGTTTCCCCAATATAACGACCCTTGGGCTACACCCATTTCAAACCTTTTAAAACAGTCTGCCTCAGCAGCAGACCATGCTTTCCCACCTGATAATGGACGCTTGTGTTGCGTCAGAAACGTCGTGATTTATTTTATATCTACGTGACTTTACCAAAAGAACCAAAGAGTATGGATTCCTGCAGTCACGAAAGCTTCAAATCACTTAAGTTAGGTTTAAAGTTAATGTTACATTCACGTTTAAAAAAGCGGAATAAATAACCAAACGAAGACGTCAATAAATATCACACAGTCGTGCAGTAAACCCACCCAGCAAAAACAAACAAATAAGCGTCCAGCGCATCCGTTCAAAGCCACCACCCATGCAATGAATTATTAAATAAATAAATAACGCCCACGGGGAAACTCCGGGGACTCGAGCAGACGAAGCCGCACGGCGCCACTCACGCGGCCCATCCGCTCCACGCGGCGGCATCGATGGCGCCGTGGAATAGGCGAGAAACATCATGGACCCGGACTCGGGTTTCGACGCTCAGCGTCCCATCAGCAGGGCGCTCGCTTGCGTCGGTGCCGGCGGAGCTGGCGATCGTACGGGCAAGGGGAGCGTCTCGCTACCCACGTGGGTCAACTGAATTTGGAATTGGGATACATTTTTTCCCTTCCCATTCGTATGTGTGTCGTGTGTGCAATGAGGTCACGTGAACTCCCCTGCCCCAGCCACTGGAGGCCGCTACAGTCACAACGATGTAACATTTTCCCGAATCGAATGTCCAGGGATGAGGTGAATGGGTTACGTCGAGGTCACGGAGGGGTGAGGGAGAGGTCACGGAGTGGTAAGGCTGGTCACAGTGGGATTCGGGAGAGTTAACGGATGGGAGAGGGCGAGGTCACGGATGGGAGAGGTCACGGAGGGATGCGGGCGACGTCACCGGGGCCGGACGAGGCCCAGCAAGCGAGCGATGTCACCGGCGCGGTGCAGCACGAGGTGCAGAGCGCCACTTTCCTGCGCATGCTGGGCCCAGCCACCGCTGCTGCCCCCACTGGGCGTGGCCTCCACGCGCCCCTCCTCCTGCTCCTCCTCCGCTCCTGCTGGGGGCGACGACGCCGGCTCGGGGCAGTTCCTCGCTTCCTGCAGAGGGGCATTAGAGGAAATGCTCAAATCGCCTGCACTTTCTTCGTTTCATTGAGCGTCGAAAGCAGCGAACTTGATGACAGTAAATGATGATGAATGGATTGAATGAATGGGAAATGAGTAATAGCCACATACAGTGCAACATAAAAGACAAAGATGCCCCCTACAGCCTTAACAGACTGTTGCTAGCGAGGAGCATCTATGATGGCCGGCACGGCACACAAGGGAGTGGTGGCCAGCACCACGCCCGTCCGCCTTTGTCTCCCTCGTTGCGATATTTGGTCGATATTTCACCGGTGTTGGTCGTGAGCGGGAATCGAACTCCGGGTCACCGGAGTCCGTAGCATAGGGGCCGTCCATAAATGACGTCACGCGATTTTGGACGATTTTTGACCCCCCCCCCCCCCCCCCAGTCACACGGCGTCACAAAAAGTCAGACCCCCCCTCAAATATGACGTCACAAAGCTCTGCCCCCCCCCCCCCCCCAAAAAAAAAACATGCTTCAAATCGCTTTAAATTATTGTCATTGTAGTGCGTATTTAATGTGGCGTCACTCTGATCTTGTAGGATAAAACATTGATCAAAAAGTCTATTTAATTAAGTAGAACGTGTTGTCTATATTTATTTAAAGTTGCGCATTTTGATGTGACGTCACATTTCTCAAACCCCCCCCCCCTCGTCACACATCGTCACAAATGTCTGACCCCCCCCCCCCCCCCCCCAGGTGCGTGACGTTATTTATGGACGACCCCATAGCGCGCTAACACAGACACACAGGCGCGCGCGCGTCGTGCGAGGGCGACGCGCCCGACTCGCCTGCCGTGAGAGGGCGGCGATCAGCGCGTGCGAGTCCTCGCGCAGCACGCGCACCTCGGCCGGGAAGAGGCTCGCAGCGCCGCGCAGCGCGCCCAGACGCAGCCGCAGGTCGCAGGCGGCTCGCGCCAGCGCCGGGAGGCAGGCGCGGTTCATCGTCCTCTGGGGGGGTGGGGGGGGCGCGGCAGAGGTCATCGCGACCGCTGCTATAAAAGCCACTCATCTACGTGACTCGGCGGGGTTTCATGGCCAGCTGCTGCTGGATCGGGGCTCCTGTTAACACCGCCTACGATGAAACTTCCCAACTATTTAAAAAAATATGTTTTCACCAGGATTGGGCTCCCACCGAGCTGCTATGTATATGTTGCGTGGTAGAAAAGGACGCTGAAGCCGGTCGTGTAGGGGCTGACGCCAAACTGTTTATTCAGGGCTTACGCCTAACTCGGGGGAAGGGGTTAACACAAGAGTTCTTAACTAATCTCCCCAAGGGGAAGGGTACTGGGAGTCCCTACACCCCACCAGGCTATCAGGCTCTTCCCACAGCACTGACCGAGGGTGCATCCAACTCGGCCAGCTGGGTAAAGCAGCCCTTTAGCCTGGCTCTCAACCCTCTATCCCGGAGCCCCCTACTCCCCTGACGCTCACTCATCTGACCCACGGCGAAGACCCCGTCCACGTCACGGGTCTTCCCTCAAATACCCCGGGGGGCATGACGTCACTTTACCCTGACGGCATTCCCCCTGAGGCGAGTGTGACCTGACGTCAGCACTCCACTCCTCAACATCTACAAACAGTCGCTCTTTTTTTTCAGCGCGACCTGGTCATCACAAATGACAGCTCAACGAAGTGGCTTATTATATAAACATTTATTGCAGCCAAATACTCTAAACTAATCTATACATTGATCCATTTTTTATTTTACCAGGTAAGGCACATTGGGGTATAAAGCTCTTTTTCAGAAGCGACCTGGCTTTTGCAAATTATACCTCAACGAAGTGGCCTTATCATCATCATCGCGTGGAAATGTATAGCAGAAGCTAAATACAGTGACTTTGATTCTAAATGTGGAGGGGGGGAAACCAGAGGACCCGGAAGAAAATCCACGAGACCACGGTGAGAGAGAGAAACATGCAAACTCGAAATATACAAGCGTCAAATTCGGGATCAAACCCATGGACCTCCTACAGTATATACCAGGCGAGGCAGTTAACATCTCGCCACCGCGGAGCCCACAAAAGGCACAAACAGCAAAAGTTGTGCCCGACGAGGCGTTCCGCGCTCACGAAAGCCGATAGTTGTTTGTGATTGTGAATGAAAGTCACCCAGGCTTTATGTGCT